GGCAGGAAGTCGTCAGTAACATGTGTACCTTCCAAGGTTCACCGGATTGGGGGGGAGAGTGTGCGAACACTCAGCAAACACAATACACCAATTAACAGGGCAATTTCAAGACCAAGCTGGGGGGCTGGGCGGAGGGAGGAGGGAGAAACAGATGTTCCCACAAAGGCTCCAAAGTAGCGCGGCTCGTCCCAGCCAGCACACGTGTTTTCTCTCCAGTGAGTACGCCGGGTTTCTAGTTCTCTCCTGGAAGAGGCGTCCCAAGCCCATATTTATGTTCCGTCTGAAATTAATGCAAGGGGAACTTTCAAATGCTAATCCGGCTGCCAGCACCGCCTGGCTGGAGAGCAAGCTACAGTGCTGTTTGTTTTCCTGAGGAAGTGCTACAGGAGGGCGGGGTAGGTGGGACACAGACAGAGGGACAGTTGGGGGTACCAAGACTTCCGGTGTCCCAGGGAGTGTCTGGCGGGAGACTGGCAGACCTGAGCTTCCTCGCCTACTTCTTTGGCCAGCCCAGGGCAGGGCTGTGGCCTTTTCTGTTCAGTGATTACTGAGATGACAGCTTCTCTGTATCCAGTCTCATGCCAGGAGCTGAGACGCATGGTCCCCACCCGAGTTGCTGTGTGTGTGAGAGAGAGGCAGAGAGACAGAGAGACAGAGAGATGGAGGGCAGGATAGTAAACTCGTACGGGATAGTGTAAGCCATGCAGTGACAGGGATAGCAGGCGGTGTGGCTTGCAGAGGGCGGGGTGGGAAGAGAGGAGGAAGGACATTCCTGACAGGGGTCACAGGGTCAGCCCAGGCACACAGCAGGGCAATGGCACCTACAGGGGCTCTGTGGTGGGAATCTAAGGTGAGAGGGGCAGTGGGCAAAGGCAAGGGTCGGGGCAGGAGGGACAAGCCCTGGAACTCTTGTTGCTGCAGGACAAGGCAAAGGGGGCCGCTTCCAGTTGGGACCAAAGAACGCTCTCAGACAACTGTGCAGCTGCAAGGGACAGTGCCCTGCCCTGGAGGGGTGTCAGCAGAGGGTGCTTGTCGGCCTGTGTGGGGTGAGGGGGGTCAGATGGCTCACAGCGAGTTGGTGATGTCTGAGGGGAAGCAGAGATTCTGCCTCTTTAGCTGCCTTTATGGCTGGCTGGCTCCTCTTTGGAGGCTGCTGGAACTGAGGAGGTCAGAAATCGAAGCACTTCGGGGTTTTGGCTGCTCAGCGGGCTCTGTGTTAACGCCGCACATGGACACAGACACCGAGAAGGGCGGCCTGCCTTCCGCCCCGCCAGAACTCAGAACGTACCACACGCTGATGCATTTCCCCATCGCACCTTCACCAACCCTGCTGAAGCTACCAGAACCGTCCCGTGTCACCCGTGTCACCTGTGTCACCTGGACAGAAGGGGCAGAGCTGGGCCCCAACCCAGGTGGGACTTCTAGGAGGAAGCTGCTGAGTCTGAGGCTCCTTGGGCTCAGAGGAGGCTCCTTTAGGGGCAGGATCTGCCTTTGGGCCTCTACTGGGTGCCCAGTTTGAGGGCTCTTCGGAGCACTCCAGGTTGTAACTTCCTCTGTGAAGGGCCCCCCCAGGGCCCTCCCACCCCAGTCACCCCTCCTGATTCTTCTAAAATCTTCAGGGTCTCAGTCTTTGATTTCCTTTAAACCTGAGACTTAAGTTTTTTTTTTTTTTCTAAAGAAAGAACAAGTGCGGAGAGAGGCTCCGACAGGGTTTTGTCAGCCACAGCCCACTTCCCGCTCCAGCTGGTCAGGACCTTGGGCCCATGTGCTCGGCAGGTTTCAGGCTGGCTCGGGGTCTGGGTCTGCAGTCCGCCAAGTAGTTTCTAACACCGTAGATCAATTCGTCACCTCCGGCACCAGAGACTGGGCCCGACCCCTTCTCACGTCACATCTGTGTGTCCTGCCGCTGCTCTCTGGGGAGGGCCCGAGCCTTGGCGATCTCCTCCAGCTTGCGCCCTGGGGGCTTGGAGTGCTTGGCCTTTTCTCTGCAAGCCTTTACTGGGACCCTCTGCATGCCAGGCATGTGCCAGGCCCCGGAGACGCTGGGATGAGTCAGATGTGGCCTCTGCTTCTGCTGGGTGAGACCGCTCCAGACCCAGGCAATGATCAGGCAGGGCGACTCTAGGTCAGCCTGGAATGGAGCTGCAGGGGCAGGTGCCACCATGCCCATGAGAATCCCTCCTTACGACATCCAGAGGCTCCTTTCCTAGAACCACAGCACCCCAGGACTTTAGAGAGCTCCCTGTTGGTCAGCCATGTGGACAGAGGCGAGGGCCACCCCCTCCTTAGCCTCGCTGTCACTTGGAGCTGAACTGAAAGCCCAGATCTTGGGCTTTCCCTTCAGTGTCCCAGCATGGTCCTGAGAGGCCACAGAGTGCTCCTGCCTCTGCCCCGACAGTCCTGGTCTCTTCTGTGGGAGTTGTTCTTGGAGGACTTTGGGCTCCAGGGGACCAGGGACCCTGAAGTAACCGTGGTGACACAGGAGCTCGCATTGCCCTGACTGTGGTCAGGCACAGGGTGATCAAGCACTGAGTCCTCCATGCACCAGTCCGCTGACTCGTGAGCTTCTCTGCAGAGGCGGCGTTGGAGGGCTGTGAGAAGCTGAGCGACTGATGTGCCCAAGGCCACTTTGCAGCAGGATGAGCACGGGGTCTCTGCCTGGTCTCTGCCTGGCCTCTTGCCTTCTCTGCGCCGTCTGGCAAGCGTGCCACGCCCTTAGCTGAACTTCATTAATCCTCATTCACTGACAGAGCAGCCCTAGAGATCCAGTCTGGAACATGGATACATGTTCTTCCCGACTCTCCTCTGTGCTAGAGAGGAATAGCTAGGGATGAGCGAGGAGAGGATGCTCCCCTGGAGGGCTGGTTGCTCTGGGCTGCAACAGGAGTGGTGACTGGCCAGGGATTGCAGCTACAGCAGGCCACAACAGGCGTGCCAGCTGCCAGATGCACACGTGGTGGGTGGCGAGCCCTCTGAAGCTCTGTCAGAAACTCCGTAACACTTCTGATGCCATGGCTCTGGCTCCAGCTGAGAAGTGGGGCAGGCCACGGGCACTGGCCTGGCTGGGTGTGTGCTACCTCTTGTTCTCAAGGTTGAATGGGCCCTACATGGACCCTGGCTGCTCTACTTTGCCCAGCCCTGAGCTCTGAGGGGCATCCATGCCTGAGGCCACAGAGTGGGGAACTGAGGCTGGTATAGAATTGAGTGTGGTTCTTGTCCGAGGACGTGGGGATGAGGAGAGGACCTGGGAGGCAGCTGGACCTGCATCAGGGAAATTTCAGCTGGTTTTCATCTCCTTCAGGAAGTCTTCTGTGACTTATTCTGCCTCTTTTTAGTGCCAGTTGCTCAAACCTCTGCTGGTCAGGCATGAAACTGCTGCCTGGATATTGGGGACTTGACAGGCCCTCAGGCCTTGCCCCGCTGGAATCCTGCTATGTGAAGGTTGGGGAGGAAAGACTCTGAGAAGGCCGTGTAGAAGGTCTCGAGATGAAAGAAGTTTCCCGGACACCAGGCTGTTTGCCTTTCCCATCCCGGGGTCCTTGACAGGACTCCATGTCCTCTCGCTTCTCACCCATCTCCTGCCTTGCCATCTTGCTGCCTCACGTCCCCAAAAGCCCTCCTTCTCCTCCAGCCTCCGATCTAGGGTTCACTCAGCAGGACCTGGGACTTTTCTTTCTGGTTGGTTCCCAGCTCTTCTCATTTATCGATCCTACCTCACCTTCCAAAGGGCAGATTAGATGTCGCTGTCCCCCTCGCCTCCCACCAGGGGGGCAGCAGGTACAGGTTCTAGTGCAGGTTTTGCTGTGGGGTAATGTGGGATCAGTGGGGCACTTTTGCTCAGGGACCTCAAAGTCAGCATATTCATTCATTCACTCATTCATTCAAGTGTGTGAAAGCCAGGGATTGCATAGCTCAAACTGGGAGACACCAAGCATGCTCAACACACGCAGGGCTGTGATAGGAAAGTCCTGGCGGCCTGTGGGAGCCCAGAGAGGAGGCCGGGACATGAATTCTCAGCAGAACCAAGGGTACGGGCAGCAGCAGGATGGGTTTTCTGGGGAGTCTGACCACCAGGAAGAGTGCCCAGACAGTGTGGCCATCATTTCACTGCAGTCCTAAGACTGACTCCTCACCTGTATGGGTTCTGAGCCCCGTCCATGTGGCTGTACTGTGCTGAGGGGTGCAGGGGAGGGAGAAGAGGTCTAGGAGGATGTCCTCCTGCCCTTGACCCTGAAGCATTTGGGGTTGAATGAGAGGGACAGATCTCAAACAGTGGGAAAAGCCCACTATGAAATCAGTCTTGATCTCTCACAGTAGGGAGAGAGAGACAGAGACAGAGGGGAAGTGAGAAATCACTCCTGGGGGGACGGCTGCACCACAATCCCTTCTCTTCTATTGCCCTATTGGGATTTTGGACAGGCATGCACATGTGCCCGGTGGGTTTTTTAAGCCACTGGGTCCAGGACTCAAACTGTGAAGCCAGCCAGGTGGGGTTCAGCTGCCTTAGTCACCACAGCACCTGCTGGCCCTATTTAAGTACTTTTAAGGCTTTTCTACAAGGTAGAGAGTTTCAGTTCCTCAGTGGTTACTGCTATCACTGACCACTTGTGAAAGAGGGGATTGAGCCTTTGGGAAGGTACCAGCCGAGGGCATGTGGCTGGGCTGGGACCTGGAGCCCGTCTTCTCCCCACCACGCCATGGCCCTCAGCACCTTGGCCCTGGCTGTGTTGGGAAGGCCCACAGAGCCCGCTTTATATGGCTTCTTGGGACATGCAGGGCCCCCAGAAGTTATCCTGGCCCTGCCCAGTGCCACTTCTCTTGCCCAGGGAGGCTGCTACCAACAAACTCCTGTCCAGCAGCAGAACCGCTTTGGGTCCCAGCTCCCTGCTGAGCACCATGTACCTTTTTCTGCCCTGTTCTGGGCTTCAGTGCTCACCAGGGAGGGCCTGGCAAGTCTCCCGGGGGTCTGCACACAAGCCCTTCCCCACTGTGGCCCAGACCTGCTCCGAAGGCAAAGAAGCAGATCTTGTCCTCGTTCTCCTGCAGCAGCGCCATGACTCGCTTCCCCATGCGCTCGTTCCTCTTGTAGATGAGCTCCTGGCGGAAGTAGCTGTCAATCTCCTGGGCCGTCACCTGCTCGTGCGGTGGGAGGGTGGTGTTGATAAAGTTGGGCAGCTGCAAAGGCAAGACAGAGGCTGCCTTCAGTTCCACGTGGAGCAAGGCGGACTTCAGAGAGACGTGCAAGGCCCAGGAGCACGGGCTGGGCAACTCACCTTGGTCAGAGCCCTACGGTAGCCTCTAGAGATGTGTCTCGTCAATCCCAATAGCCTTTGAGATGAGTATTGTTTATCCTGGTTTTCCAGATGAAGTAAGCAAGGGAGGAAATGACCCAGAACCATGTGCAGTCACACTGTTGGTGACGTGGCAGGGCCGGGGTATGATCCCAGCTGCTGGACTCCCACAGGCACCAAGCTGCCTGGTGCCTCTGGCTTGTATTACTCAACTCCCGGTTGTGGAGGTACTGGGAGGCTGGGACAGTGCTCATCTCCTTAACTGACCTCACTTCAGCGCAGAGCCCAGTGTTGGCGCGGACAAGGGTTCAGTTCAGCAAGAGGGTATAGAGGGTCGACTGGGCTGCCCAGTGTATCAGCAGGGCCATGGGGCACGCAACTGGGCTGACTTGGGCTTCAGTCTCTGCTCCGAGGCTGTGTGGTGCCCGGTATGTTCCTTAATGTTTCTGACCCTGTTTTCTCATTCGTGGGATGGGACTGCCAATATGGTAGGGATTGGATGAGACGGGTGCTATCAGCCTACCCCACCCTATGGAGGAGAGAGGAAGGTCATCACCTTTGGTTCTCTCAGTGCCCAGTCACCATCTGTTGCCTTCAGCATCTGTCTATCCCTGGCCCCCCACTTTGCAGGACATAAGCTGAACCCCTCCACCCCTCCTTGAAAACCTCAGCTCCAGGACCACAGCTCCCTCAGGATGGCTTGTTCCACAGCCCAGCTTGGACCTACCCAGCTGTCTGAGCTCTGGGCCCTTCACTGTCACCCAGTCCCATGCACCTGATAATGTGTTCTTAAATGAGGGAGGTCCCTACTTTCAGAGCCTGTGTCATTCCTTGTCCCCGAGGCCTGGCTCAGGGAAGTGCCCAGCAAGGCTTCCTCGAACTTTAAAGGTGAAGCTGTGCTTCCCGTCCTGACTGCAGTCACCCCTCCCACGTTCTTCTGTTCCCAACCTTCTGTTTTTCCAGCCTGGTGGGTGCAACAGCACCACCTTCTACAGCACATGTGTAGGGCCAGTGAGGAAACTGAGGCAGTGAGTTAGAGCATGCTCTCTCTCTTCCCTCATCCACCTCCAAGCTCTTGCTCACAGGATGCCCTCCTGGGTCCCCTGTTCCATGTCTCTGTCTTCACCTCCTGAGGCCCAAAACCTGGCTGCCAGGCCGAGCTGGCTGATGGATGAGGAGCTAGAGAAGCTGGCAGATGAGGCTGGTTTCCTGCATGTTTTAGCCGCCAAAGGGCTTCAAGAGCCACTGGTGGTTTGCTGACATTCTTGCTGGGGAAAAGAGGAATCAAGGTGGCTGAACCCTGAGAGACTCTGAGGAGGCCCTGAGAGACTCTGAAGAGGCTGGGACCTGTGGTTCTGCTATCTCTGGTCCAGGACTAGTGCACTTCCTAGAGCCAGAGGGGACACAACAGTGCACACAGCGTGGGACTTCTCTGCCAGAAAGGCCCGATTTGCTGCTGTAAGATGAGCCAGACAACGGCGTGACTGGTGTCCCCTACTTGTGCAGTGCACAACCTGCACAGCTGTGTGACAGTCCTGCTAGTGCCCAATCAGGGCTGGCGGCACAGAGCTGGTGCCCAGGGACTTCCTGTTTGTCAGATGCAGAAATGAAGTGCTCACCTATCTTCTCTGTACCCAGCCCCCACTAGAAGTGATGACTGACAGCCCTGACAAGATAGGCTACATTTGGACTTGATGCAGCTATAGGAAAAAACCAAGCCTTCTGGGTGGTGAGGAACAGAGAGATTGTGGAAACACATCCCTCACAGGCTTCTGCCTTCCCTTGGGTATGGGAGAGCCTGTGAGACTATCTATAGTCTATCAACGAATACATATTTGTTGGGCCAGTGAACGACTGGAGGAAGGAATGAGCTGGGAGATGGTGGAGGAATCAAGGCGATGAATACAGGTCCTGAAGCCAGACAGCTAGGACAACTTGGAGGGCGGAATCCCTCTCAATCCCTCATGCACTCACTAGAGAGAGACAGAGACAGAGAGAGGGAAAGTGAGAAAGCAAGTTGTCAGGACTGGGACTCAAACTGCAGTCAGCCATGTGGGAGTCCAGGGCCTCAACCACCACGCCACCTGCTGGTCCCATGTGAGATGAGTTTTGGAAGGTGCTTAGCATAGTGCATGGCACAAAGGAATTCTTGCATCAGTGTCAGCTTTACACACTAGTCAGGGGGACGGAGTTGGCTCCATTACCTCCCCTGCGGGACCTGAGGCTACCAGTGAAGGGTGGCTTCCGGCAGGGGTAGAGATGGAGATGACAAATAGCTGGTCTACAGAACCATCCAAGAGTCCAAGAGTCTGGGGCAGCACTCTGCTTCCTTGCCTTCTTCCCAGATTACCCAGGACCCATAGACAGGCCCAGACCTTCCCCCAGCGCTTTGTGATCATGAGCATGCGTTATGCAAAGGTGGATTCCGCACGCCCCTTAGGGAGCCGAAAAATATAAACAAGCACAGGACCAAAAACTTATTGGGTTGTTGGGAAAGTCATGACGCATTTTTGCACAGAAAAACACGTCATGACCTTCCTGACAGCCTAATAAATTTCAAAGCCGTGGAGGAGTCGGGCTAGACTGGCTAGGCTGCCCCGCCCCCGGCCGGGTTAGCCGGGCTAGGCTGCCCAGCCACCGGCCGACATTCCCTCTGTGTTTCTCTGATGGGTCAAGGCTCCATGCCAAGGATGGGACTGGGCGGGAGCCAGGGCTGGGATGGAAACAAATGAATGAAGTCATTACACTTGTCAGGAGCCTTAACTCTCCCGTGACAAGTTTAAGTGCGGGGTGTGTGATAACATTTAAAGAGGATGTGTAAAGTCCTCAGGGCCTGACAGAGACAGATCTGAGATGGAGGAATGAAATGCGTGGCACAGGGCTGGGGTGGGGCCACTGGGGTGGCTTCAGTGTAACCTTTCCTGACCACTGATCTGGCCTGGGTCAGGTCTGATGGTCAAGCACTCAGGTCTGTGGATGCTGCTGACCTCAGTGACCGTACCGCCTCCCTTGACCCCATCCTTCCAGCACACAGCCCCTGGGGATGCCTACAGGTCTAGCCTTGCATGGGGCTTAGGGGGCCACACAGCGCCCTCAGCCTATTGAGGCTCATGTCCCCATGGGGGGGGGTCATACATGCACAGAGCACTGAGGGATCATGCTTTGAAAGGAGTGAGGTATGTGGGGTCCAGAGGATGCACCCAGTAGGGTGACCATGTGTCTTGGTTTGTCTGGGGGAGTCCAGGGCAATCCAGGTATATGACTGGGTGTGACTCAATGTGTTAATCATTTGATCTTTCATGCTCAAAACTATCAGGATTAGGACAATAAATACATGTGGCTGCTCTATGCCTAATGCAGGCCAGGGGCTCAGGTATGCCTTTTCAGGGGTGGGCCTCTGAATCACTCTCTGACACAGGGTTCTGACAGCAGCAGTGGCCGTTTCTGAAGGTGGGGATGGTGGAGCGGAGTGGGGAGGCAGGTAGGCCCAGGGTGAAGTGCATGAGGCCCTGTACCTGATGTCATCCTGGGCCCTGCACCTGTCTCACCCTGGCCCCGGAGGGAGCGTCGTCATTCTCCATGCTGCAGCCAGAAGCATCTTTCTGACCATGTCGCTCTGCAGCTTGAGCTCTCCAGGGCTCTCACCTTCATCAGGTGTCCTCACCCCTGTATGACCTGCCCTTTTCTCTGTATTCCTTCACGACTTCCCCTACCTCACACCCCTACTAGCTCCCGTGCATCCCCAAGGTAGATTCCACCCTCACACCTAGTTCCCATGGCACCTTCTCCCTGAGGCTTTCCCTGATTGCAGGCAGAGTGACCACAGTCCTTCAGCCTCTATCCCACACAGACGTCCAGGCAGCCAGGCTCAGAGGGGCACTGGAGCCAGCCTTTCTACCCTGGTGCCAGCTGGGCTTTTCTGCATCTGGGGGCAGGATGGTCCAGCCACTTCTCAGAGCTAGACTTGACGCTGATTGTGCTCCCCTCAGCCTGGGCTCCCCTGAGTGTGGCCTGGGCTGTCGGCTACTCCAGGCAGGTCAATCCACCCATCCTCTGTCCCAATTCATGTGCTGGAACTGCAGGAGGACCCCTGATACAGTTGTCACCCATGTGAGATCAAGCAGTGGCTCTGGACACAAGCTTGGAGAAAATCTGAGCTGGTCATGGCCGGAGGTTGCCATGTCTCCTACTCTCAGCTTACAGTCAGTCTGGTCAGGGCCCTATCCTTCCTGTAGCCCAGCCACACCATGATCAGGCCATCCCATTGTGACTAGGACCCTCTGAACTACAAGCTCCCCAGCTGCTCAGAACCACTGGGCTCTCTCCAAGCAGATGGTGCTGGGCGGGGCCTTACTACACAGTGGGTCCTTGGTGAGAGTCCTCCAAGCGCCGCAAAGTCAGGTTCTCTCCTCCCTCACTTGTCTTCACTGAGTCAAGGCCTCTGGCTCTTTCCTCTCTCATTCTCTACACTTCTCCAAAGCACCACTTGCACACATTCACTCATGTGACTGTCACTCATGCTCTATGCCAGGCCCGACCTGGGCGAGCAGGGACAGAACATCACAGTTGGTCCTGGCTACATCTCCAGCCAAAACTCGTGCTCCTCCACCTGTTCCATCCTGCTTGGGCTTGTTTGCACGTGGTTTCCCTGCTGAAACACTTCCTGCCCCGTCTGTGGCCAGTTCATCTATGCCTTTCAGGAACCTTTTCTCTCCCCAGATCCAGCCCTACACCCAAGCCCACCTAAACCAGCTGCTCCTGCCATCCACTCCTCCCCACCACGGCGAGGATCACACTCTGGTCTGGGGATACCATTCTTGTGGAAGCCTTCTGTCTTCCTATAAACCGAAGCCCCATGGGGAGCTCTCTCTGGAGCCCCACTGTCTCCCTTTCCATAGCCCATGCCTAGCTCTCACGTACACATGATTTCATTCATTCACTCGGCAAATATTTAGAGTCCAGCCATGGGCCAGGGACTGCTCTAGCTAGTTGGGCTATATCGATGAATGAGAGAGATCAAAACCTCTCTCCTCATGGGGCTCTCCAGTGGGGAGGGCCTGACGGGAGCCACTGATCAATGACTCAAGCATCTAGTGTGTTAGAGGGTGACAAAGGCCACAGGAAAAAGGCACATATTAATGAGATGAGAGTGTGGGGTAGGGCCCTGCTGCAGTTCTAGATAAGCCAGCCTCACAGAGAGGTGCTGTTTGAGCGAAGCACTGCAGGCAGAGGACTGAGCCATGGTGACCCTTGGGGAAGAGCGAGGCACCAGTGCAAAGGCAGAAGCGCGTGAGCGGGGCTTAGGGGACAGCAGGGAGGCCATGCAGATGGAGTGGCATGTGGGACAGGAGCACATCAGGAGAGGGGCTGGAGCAGGGGCAGCACAGGGGACCACACAGACTCTGGCTTTTCCCAGGAGAAAAATGGGCAGCCCATGCAGTGCCCTGAGCAGGGGAGTGGCCCACTGCCTAGTTCAACTGCTTCCTGAAAGAATGGATATTCAAGCTGCATGATACATGAGCATGTGGGGCCTAGTACTGCCTGGCAAATATCTAACTCCATCCAGGATCAGGAGGGCTTCTCAGAAGTGGGAACACAGGGTGTCCCATAGGTGGGGCCAAGGCGGAGGGATGCAGGGTAAGGGGAGAGCCTGAACAAAGGCACTGAGTATGAAAGGTAAGCTCTGTTAGGAGAAGAGCCACAAGTCCCACTCGCTGCAGAGTGGACTGTGACAAGGCCAGCAGAGGGCGGGTCCTGGAGGACCTTGAGTGCTGGATGAAGTATCTTGGAAGGTACCCTGAGAGCCATGGAGAAGCAGGTGGAGTCGGAGCAGGGGGAAGCTAGGCTCATACCCTTGGGGTCCTGTGTACTGACCAGCTCTGCTAACCTCTCCTCTAGGGCATGCAATAAGGCAGAATGCCCCAGGCTAGCCTCAAGTCCCAGCCCCAAGTAACTGCAGGCCCTAGGCTGTAACTTTCCCAGGTATTGGAGGAACCTGTCAGAGGCCTCCTTGGTCCTACAGGTCAAGTTTCTAGGATTCTAGTTCCCAGAGCAACACATACCTGGCTCAAGCTGCTGCTCTCGAGAACTCAACAACCAGTAAGTTGTATGGCCTTAGGCAAGTCTCTTCCCTTCACTGAGCCTCAGTTTCCCCATCTAACAAAAGGGGATAACAACATGGCTGGAAAGAAGAAACCCTGTGTTGGCACAGTTGGGTCCATACGGGTCTCACTCAGGGTCTTCGGAGCGGGTGCCTGACCTGAGGAGAGGAGCCTCACCTGGGATGTGTCGTGGTTGAAGATGACGGCGTTGAGGTCTCCGCAGTTGTAGTGCTTGATGAGGTCCTCTGTGGTGTAGGGCGCCTGCAGGCTTCCGGCCCGCACGCTCTCATGCTGCAGCAGGGTCTGGTTCAGGGCAAACAGCACCTGCGCAGAGGTAAGAGAGGAATAAGGGCTGCACCCGGGGGCCCTGGCCGACCTCCTCCCTCTGGACCACAGTCCTGACGCAGAGTGAGTGTGCGGGGCCACACCTGCTGGCTCAGCTCAGTGTTTCAACCTTGCCCGCTCCCAACTCCCTGGTCTCTGAACACGTTCCACCTGGTCCCCTCACTGGCCCTTGCCCACAGTCCCCATTCCTGTTCAGTGGCTCAGTTTCTAATCTGAAGCTGCAGCGAAGTGAGCACCCTGCTTGGAGTTGGGTTTTGGGACCTAGGTTTCCTTTAGAGTCCTCTGTCTCCTGAGCTTAGACGTGCTCTAGAATGTGCAGACTCATTCTGCAATCAAGAGCACCTCCAAACTAAGCCAGACCAATGCACAGACGCAGTAAGAAGCCCATCTAGATCCTGGGCCCAACCTGGGGAGGCTGCCCTCACCCCAGAAAGGCCTGAGGAGCGGGTTCCCTCAACATCAGATCCACGCTCAAGCTCAGCCCGTGTGTCTTCAAGCTCCTCTGTCCTTTGAACCCCTTAGACAGCTATGCCCAAGCACGAGGATCAGGGGCACTTGGAAAGCTGGAAAAGTCAGAGGCCCAGACCCTACTCTCTGGAATCAGATTTTTTTTTCTTTTGCTATAGGGTGGGTGCACTCACCAGAGAGAGAGAGAGAGAGAGAGAGAGAGAGAGAGAGAGAGAAAGAGAGAAATCACCCATCCCTTCCCCTCCAGGAGGACAGCCATGCTGCAATTCCTTCTCCTTTATTCTCCTCTTGGGATTTTGGTCATGCATGCACACATGCCCTGAGTGGTTTTCAAGCTACCAGATCTGGGACTTGAACTGCAGTCAACCCCATGGGATCCAGTGCCTTAACCTCCATACCATCTGCTGGCCCCAGAATTTCTGTGCTTTAACAAGCCTTCTGGCTACTTCTAAGTAGCATGACTGCCTCTGGCACTGAGGGCTGGCTGCCATGGAGCACAGCTCTAGGTCCTAGAGATTGCTCATCCCATTGGTCTTGTTTAAATGTGGAAACTGAGGCCCCGTGAGGAGTAGGGACTTGCTCAGTCTATACTGGGTTGGAGTTGGGACTGGTGCTGGCTTCATGGGCTAAAAATCCCAGATGCCTTGGGCCAACAGAGGGCCATTATTTGAATTACTTAGGACAGAAATAAGGAAAAATGTGTTGCAACTCTTGTACAACATGTCAGAAGGCAGTCTGAGGCTACTCGTCCCTGCTGCTGCCCCAGCCCCAGCTGTCACCCTCAGGCCCTGCTCATCCTGTTTGTATAATGTCTTAGACGGTAAGCCCCCAGCCTCTAGACCCACACCAACTCAGGCCCAAGGGTCTCTCCCTGGGTCTATGGCAACAGCTCCTCCCATCCCACTGCAGGCCCTGTCCCTCCTAACCACCTCATATTCTTCTGCCATAGTCACCTTTCAAAAGAGCAAATCTGGGCTGGCCCCATAGTGCAGTGCTTAAGCCTTGTGTATAGGGAACCAGCTCCCTCACGGTTGATTGTGGATTGAATCCTACCCTGGAGGTGTGTGTGTGTGTGTGTGTGTGTGTGTGTGTGTGTGTGTGTGTGAGTGCCTGTCCCAAACCTAACGGGAGGGGAAATAGAGGAAAATGGATTGTGATGTACCATGCCCCATTGAGGGTGCTTTCTCTCTCTCTTTCTGATGAGTGCCTGTGCCCTCTGGCAATTAAAAATATATATTAAAAGAAAAAATCTGATGGCTCCCTTCTCTCTTTTTTGTTCCAAAAAAGGTTCTTGGGCCAGCAAACAGTGTGGTAGTTAAGGCACTGGACTCCCATGTGGCCAACTGGTTTGACTTCCAGACCTGGTGGCTTATTTTTTCTCTTTCCCACTCTCTCTCTCTCTGTTTCTATCTAGTGAGCACATGTGCCCTATAACAAATTAAATAACAATAATAGTAATAATGATAATAGTAAAATCATTTTTTTAAAAAAGGATCCCTCTTGCCTGCAGGTTAAAGGGTTAACTCTTCAGTGGCACCTCTAAGGCAGTGCCCTGGACCCAGCTGTAGTCTTGCTTTTTACAGCCTCCACGTACTAAAACGCTCAGCATTCTTCAAAGAAAACAGCCTCTTGCTTCTGTGTATGCTGTTCCATTTGCCTGGAAAGCCCTACCTTCTCCATTGTCCAGTAGCAAACCAGACCTGGCCAGCTGGGCTCTGCTCAGATGACTCCATGAAACTTCTCTGACCACCTGGAGACTGGGGTGGGCCTCTTCCATGGCTCCCGTGGTCTGCACAGGTGGTAGACTGATAGGTTGTCAGCCCCCACCCAAGCCGCTCCTGCACCTATGCCCTTTGCTGTGGAACTTCACTGCCCATTGCTCTGCCTGTGGGCTGGCTTTAGCACTGGGGATGTTCGTGACAATTGCAAATGGAGGCCTGAGATGCACACGTCTTGCTGCTGCTTGCATCCCCAAGCCAGCCTTCTGGAGAATGGGAGACACGGAGGGCAGAGCCACGCAGCCAAGGCCATCCTGGAGCACCCTTGCGAAGGCCAACAGCCAGCTGACTCCCGGACATGTGAGTGAGCCCAGCCAAGATCCACTGAGGCTGCCTGCAACTGGCCCCAGATCCGTGAGCAGTAAGCACTGTTCATCGCTGTTGTGACACCATGTAGTCATGGTGATAAGTGACCGCGATGTGCACAATAGACTGTAACTGCTCTTTAGCTCCCAGATGCTCTCAGGAGACAATGAGCTTCTTGAAGACAGGAACTGTGACTTACTCAGTTTTGAATCTGCAGCCCTCAGCACAGTGCCCAGAAAAGGAAGACATCCTTTATTTAGAACTTTGCCACCTACTGCAGTCACCTCCCAGTTTAAGGATGCTCGAGAAGCCCTTAGGACGAGTCCCTAGAACTGTGGCACTGGGTCTGCATTTTAAAGTATGCCACCTCCATGTGGCAGAAGTTCCCAACAAATGGCAGCAGCCACTTGGCTCAAGAACTCAGGATCTGCACAGAAGAGCTCGTGAACTAGGTATAGACAGCCTGGCTAAAATCCTGACCCAGGCACCAGGGCCAAGCCCGTGTTCCCAGGAATACTTCTACCCAGCGCTTCCATCTGTGTCAATGGCTGGGCAGGAGAGTTGGAGTGTGCCGGCTGCCACGGCCTGGGCTGCTCCCCTTAACGAGCTGGCTGGCGATGAGGTCAGACCACCACCCCACCTCTGGGCCTCCTCCAGGCCTCTGGACTCTGGCTGCCACCACTGAAATCCGAGCTCAGCCATCTGGTGCGGGTGTCGATGGCAGCGTGGTGGCTGGGGATGGCTCGCAGGAGGCAGAGGCCTTGTTGCTGTGCACATTGCTAAGGCAACAGGCATGTCCTCCTCCCCCATAGCACATGCCTCGGGTGAAAGTGTCCGTGTCGAGCTGACCGGCTTTCCTCCTCGGGGGGCCTGGGACATACAGACTTCCTATGGCCACGCCTGGCCGTTGCCCACACCTGCTCTGCTGTTGCTCGGGGTCAGCTCAGCTTGGGCACTGCCTGACTTGCAGTGAGGTTATTGGCCCGCATGCTCTGAAGACCTGGCTGGAAGGAAATGACTCCCCTGGACCTTGTTTGACTCACAGAGTCGCGTCTGCAAATAGGCGGCTGTCAAGGAGCTGGGAGGTGTTCTAGTGAGTTAAATACATTACGACCTGCAGAGGGCAACAGTCCAGGCATGGATAAGTGCTGGGTAAGTGTTTGCTCAACAAAACTTAGAAGAAAATAGACTCAGACCTTCCCAGACTAGAGCTGAAAGGGTCCCTGAAGGTCATCTGGTCCAGAGGTTTTTCAAGCCTTTTTTAGCCAAAGAATCCTTTTTTGTTATTGTTGTTCTTCAGAGGAACCTTACTTAGAACTCAAAATATGGAGCAGATAAAAATGGAAACTTCCCTAGCTGCTGCTGTAAGGGAGGCAGGCTAGGGCCTGAGGTTCTATTGGCTTGGTGCACCCCTCCATAGCAGGGAGCAAGGACTCCCAAGGTCTCTCTGTGGAACCCATAAATACCCCAGAATGCAGTCTGAGAACCAGATATCATCCTATGCCCTCATCATATAAAAGAGGAGACAAGATGAGTCCAGAGCATGCAGGATGGGGCTCGCCCATGGCCACACTCTAAGCTCAGGGCAGAGTGGATTCCACCCTGGGCCTCCTGACTCCTCCCAGAATCCTTTGCAGGGTCCTGGACCACAAATCTGAGGCTGGGTTTTGAGAGGTCCACTGGCACAGTCCATGCTCGTCCACACGCACATCCTTACTGGAGCCTTGGGAAGGAGCTAGAAATGGCCGGGGAGTACTCGTGGAAACGGAGCCTGGGTCATTTAAGAGGCATCCCCAGAGTGGTGCAATCAGGGTGTGGCAGGCCGGGACTGAGACCCAATTCAAGTCCACTGACCTGGGCAGGGCTTGGTGCCTCCCACAGACCCCTGGGCTTCCCAGTCTCTGTGGTTACCCCAGTTGTCTCTGTGCTCCCTCACAGCTGAATCCCAGTATCCCCAGGAGCAGACATCCAGGAAATACTGCAAACGAAAGACGCTGATCAAGTCACCGGCTTCAGTTCCCTACACCTCTGGCCTCGTAGCCCCCCTTGCCGTTTTTGCGATGTGCTCGTCCATTTATTACCAGGAGTGCTCTGTTCACTGAGCGTTTACTGTGCCGGAACTCTCTAAGCCCACGCTAACTTAACAACAGCAACTCTGGGTAAGTCTATTATTAGCTCCATTTACTAGGTTAAAAGAACACTGCAGTCAAGAGACTTTAAGTGACTCACTGAAGGTGACAGCTCTGGATGGGGGTGGAATGGGTGCTCAGGCCAACCCTGTAACCCATCCTCTTAGTTCACTGCTGCCAACTGGGGCCTCCCTCCACTCTGGGAGATGGCCAGCAGGGAGGATGTCCCTACTCACAGATGGGAAATGAAAGAAGCAGAGGGGTGGTGTGGGCCCAAGGCCACACGGCCACCTACTAT